GGGGGGGGGGGGGGGGGGGGGGCGCTCCCCCCCCCCCTTTCTTGTTCCTTCACGGTGCTAGGACGGGTGAGTTCAGAGCGGCCACACTCTTTGCTCTTGAATTTAATGTAAAATAAAGTTGTCCTCCGAAGAGGGGGGGTGGTGATGGGCAATAAAACAAAAAACAAAAAAAAACAAAGGTATACAGAAACAATAATAGAGTTAGTGAGAGAGGGAACACTGATTGAACGGGATTGGCAGGAAGTCAAACGTTATCATAACCACCCAAGAGCTGACCAACAACATAAATGAACTTCTAGCAAGGTTAGCCATAAAAACACCTTACAGATGCAAGGAAGGGTGCCCATTACTTCCAAAGCGCTCACATAACCAATCAGCATCAGGGGGCAGCAGTTTTTGGCAATGGTAGATACAGGTAGTTCTTTCATTAATAGAGTGTTTGTGTATGTGTGTGTGCAAGCTGTAACTGGGCACTGTGGTGTGGGTTTGCATAGATCACATTTAATAAAATTGTCCCGAAAGTGTAGTACAACATACACGTGCACACGCACACACACACAAGCACCTAAATTTAATATGTGAATTATCCTAAAAAGCATGGGAAAATTCTTGTGTGTGGGTTTGCATAGATCACATTTGCTAAAATTGTCCCCAAAGTGTAGTAAAACGCACACATACACACAGACACACAAATACACAATAAATTTACCTTGTGAATTATCCTAATAACCATGAGAAAATTATTTTGATATTTTCATGCTGTCATCTGCTGGCCGAATGTAAGTATTACCAGAAAAGATCATTTTAATGTTTTTAAATGGTAGTACTCAATTTTGGCCACCAGACGGCAGCATAAAACGTGTGTGTGCTGTAACAGGGCACTGTGTGAGTGTGTGTGAGCTCTAACCGGTGTCTGTGTGTGTGTGTGTGTGTGTGCTGTGACTGGGCACTTTGTGTGTTTGTGTTCATCCATGTGTGTGTGCGATGTAACTGGGTACTGTGTGTGTGCGCACGCGCTGTAACTGGACACTGTGTGTGTGTGTGTGTGTGTGTGTGTGTGCTGTAACAGGGCACTGTGTCTGTGTGTCTGCACTATAACAGCACACACAAAGCGGACTGATGAAATCAGTCAGGGCAATGACCTCGCAGACCAGTGGGCTAAAAGTTTAGCTAAAGATTGGGTTTGGGAATAAGGTTTTGCTAGCAAAGGATGTAGATAAACTATGCACTGATAATGACCTTGTTTTGATTCAAACAGGTGCTACAGAGGGTGAGCTCCGCGGATGGAAATGGAGCGGTGCACGGTGTGATGGGGAAGGCGTGTGGTGACATTCTGGGACTAACCGACCTTATCTTCCTAGATCTGCGTATCCAGGGATGGCCAAAGCCGTTCATGGCCTGGATCATGTGTCTCGTGACGGGATGGTGGCAGCTGTGACTCGGGTGTGGCATGCCCCTGGGTTTGCCACAGCTGCTGCCCAAT